GTTCACAATCTTCACCACGAGTCTGACATGTTATAAAACAAGGGGTTAAATAAAAGAGTCCATTAGATTCATTATATCTTTTGTCATATCGTACAATTAAAAACAAAATCTTCAAACATATTGAAATTGTAACGTTTGAAGTCAGTTTTTATGAAAATACTTGAGGGTTAGCAAAAGATATTGAACAGTTTGTTTAGACACATGAACTCCAACATGTGTGCCCAGTTTAAACCACAGAGCATTGGTCTGTTTCGTGACCTCAGTATGTCAGTGACACATAAAATTCGGTGGTTCACCGATCTGAAAAAATTCGGGAATAGAATGGCCAACACGGTCAGAGGGTTACCGTCTCAATGCCAATATACCGATTGACCTCAGCAGCGGCGTCGTGCTGGGAATTCTTTCCGAGACATATGTGCCCACAGCAGGAGAAATGAACAGCAATAATGGTAAAAGGGGACACGAGGGAAGCACCTGAGCAAGTGTAACCAAGGTGCATGCACCCAGCTGATCGTACATTTGCGAGATTCTAAGGAAGATACCCGGGGTCATGGGTGCTGTGGGGAAATGTCACGCCAGTGATATAGACTTTGAGTGTTTCTGTATTCACGACCGCGTTCGATCACCTTTCAAACGATTCTCGATCGTGTGCCATGGTCTTTCAAGCAGAGTTGGGCAAAATTTTATCCGGATAACTAATAAGAAATTTAAACAACGGATAAAATTGTTTTCGGTGCCAATGAGTAAATGGTCAATTTTCAAACACTTCCCAGTTCTTTTTTTAAGTATGAGAATTGAGTATTTCTGTCACCAATTATCATTGTATATCTTTAATTAATACTAGAACTACCGAACATTTAATACGATTGAGATGTAATCTCTATATACATTGTAACAGTAGATTATTTTCAGTTTTTTCGGATATTCATTATAGTATTCTAGTGAAACAATTTATTTTCAAAATCATTTTTACTGGTATGGTAGTTCTAGTGATAGTATTAAATTATGTCTAGCCTATTATTACTATTACAAGGACCGTAAATTGAGCTATTTTCCTAATATACGTACGTACATGTTTGTTGCTTACTATTTTCTGAAATTTTTTTCTGTCGATTGCGTACATATATTGTTGGATATTTTTACTTATATATAGCCTTAATGTTTAAGAGCTCAAAACCAAATATAATGTTTTTTAACGAGGAATAGAGGAAGACCAAAAATGAAACAATAACCGAATGTCTATTTATATTTAAATATATACAGGGCGGCTCATTTTAATTTATAAATACAATTATTTTCGGAACCATTTGTATTCACAAAATGTCTCACATGCAACTTTTTCTATTTTGATGGATCTTTGACGTAGACAGGTCAACACTTTTTTTGTAGAGAATGAGCTACTGCATCTATAGATGCAAAAGAATTACATAATGGTACTTGAAAATAGTGACCTCCGTATCTGCTACAAGCCTACCTATAAACATACTAAGTGTACCGAATTACTATCCTCTCGGAATAAAAAATTTGCATTTGAGACATTTTTACACGACAAATAGTTTCGGAAATAATTGCATTTGTAGATTAAAACGAGACACTCTGTATATACTGCATTAAAAATAGATTCCAGCCGTTTTATGAAGGTTCATATTTTTGCTGAAAGCATTAGAAGAACGGAGTTTCAAGATCATAATCATTCAACATATTTATTGAAACTTCCTCAATGTAAACGAGATCTTGATACTGAGGGTCTAAGCTTGACGAAACCTGCTTGTGTATTCTATGATCGTAACGTGTATGCGAACAGCCCGGTATACTTTCTACTCACAATTCTTCCGTTCTAACAGCCTATGAGTCACGCTATTGTTACTCAGCATTTGTAAGAATTGCATGAACAAAACAGCATTAAAGAATCTACAGTGTCATGGCTGCGAACATTCGCAATTGCCTTTCGTACGTGCATACGAAAAATTTCGTCTGTGGATCATAAATCTGTAAAGAGTTTGCATAAATACTCACCGACAACACAAAATGTCTAAACATTTTCCATTTTTCAAAAATAAAGTTTGCTACAGTATGACTATATGTGACATCTTTTTTATAAAACTTTTTTCCATTCTAAAGTCTGTTTATGCTACATGTTGAGGCATGATGAAAGTAGAACAGTCAGAAAATTTTACTCAAAGTTTAAGAATAATGTTTTATAAAATGTTTGAAAAAATATTTCTAATATAACGACGATTAAATTAATTGACAGCAATTTTAATAAACCAAAGTTACGTATAGTCATATCTTAAAAATTACTTTGCAATTGTCATTATGTTTTCGTAAAGCTGTCTAGAAGGAAACTTTTAAGATACGAATTTTTTTTTCTTATATTGGATATTACGTATGTATTATTTAAGGGCTAAAATTGCTTAACTCTTTTTTGTATTTATAATTTCTTTTTTTATTCACAAGTTTGCAATTGCAATAATGGCTGAGATGATGAGCAACAATAATTTATTCTCTTCTTGTTGAATAATTGCATTTTTTATTTAGAATTTAAAGATTGAAAATGTATGAAAGTATTGGGTTCGGATTGATTACAGAACTAAATGCTATAGTTGTAGATGTATTATAAAATTGAAGTCGTGAATTCCAAAACAGCAAAATCCACTTTTCCGCGTTATCTAAAAGAGTTATCGATTAAAATTTTTTTGTCTTACTCAGATCTAGTTAATAATATTAAAAATGTACACGTAAAATGTATGTGTGACCAATACTTGCATCAAGAATCAATAAAATAAATAATAAATGAATTAACGAAGATGAAAAGGAAGATTGATTTTCTCAAAATGTCGATTGGTTGACTTATGCTGTTTTAGAATTCATGGCTTCAATTGTGTCTGGTTGCAGAATGATGCAAGACGAGAATGTTTCCAGGCTCTAAATCGAAGTTCAATAAGAAAGTTTAATGGGGCAGGATAAACATTCGATATTTATTACTTGAGTTTTCGAATTACCAAACCTAAATGAAGGATAAAATTTAATAACAAAGTTTATGAGGTGTATTCATTAGCAGTATACTGTTTAATTTAACTTAATTGAATCGTTTGTGATCCGAAGTGTATTCGGTTATTCACTTTGAAGCTTGCATCGAGTTATTTATTTCAATCATACTGTAACACGGCACTTTAATTATTTATTTAAGATCATTTGGGGAGCATCGAAGTACTACGTTTATATGATACAATTATGATATTACAGATGGTTATAGAAACATTTATTAAAATGATTAGATATTGGAGTTAAACTAAATTTCTCCAGTTTGACTCGACATAAAATCGCAAAGGGTTAAATACCTAAAATAAGAATATTTAATTTCAATTAATTTAAAATTATCATCTTGGTAAATGCGAGTATTAATAGAAGTCAGTATTTAAAAAGTACAGAAAATGCATGTATGAGAAGAGTAAATTAATAACGTGCATTTGTGTTAAAAAGAGTTAGCGAATTTCCTGTAATAACCAAATAGTGAATTTGAAAAATTATTCGATACTAAATACATTTTACAATAAGTAATTGTTCTTTTCAGACATTTTAATACTGCAAAAATAAACTTAATGAATGCGCACAATGAAGTGCTAAAATTGGTCAAAGATAAAATATTCGATATACACCGTTCTTATATGAACTTATAAGTGTTCTTCATATCAATAGATAAGATGAAAGGAGATGAACATCCAAATATGGAAAACATATGCAGATTGTACGCCAGTTAGCTACACACTTTTACAAAGTGTTTAACCTTAAGAAGTTTTGCCTTTCAATATAAGTTATGGACACTTTCGTTCAACTTCTTGTTCTTCGTTCACGATAATAGCATAGTTGAAACTTAAGTTCGTTACAAACAAAACTGAAAACAAGTTTTTTAAGTTTTACTAATCACGATTGTGTTACTTCCATTTCTTTATTTTAACCACTTTACTCTACAAACGATGACAAATCTGTTTTCTGTGGACGTCGAGAAAAATGCACCAGCAATTTATGAATTCATATTCTTTTAGGCCAGATGACGGCGATTCTTTTATTATCTTTCATATAACGTAGAGGGAAAAGATATAATTAATTTTAGAAGTAATTTACGAAATAAATGAAATCGTCGAATTTAATGTAGTTTCAAATAATGATTTGGTAACATAAATATGAAATATAGTAACAAACGTACTTGTTCATAATCTTCTCTAATTACAATTAAGGGAAGAAATTTGAGTGTAATTGCTAATTGTGTATCTTCGTTGCTATTACTTATTACATCCATTTGTGATATATTCTTCTGACATTGTAAATAATTTGATGAAATAAGTATAACTATTATTCAAAAATAAATTACATTACGCAGTAGTGTAGAATAAATCTATTGCTATTAAAATTTAAACTTACTTCCTTATCTTTTATGACTTAAATACTGTTTGGAATGAATTAAAAATGTTAAAAATGTAACGTCTAGAAGTCTTGCAATTCTTCTATAAACTAGATCACAATATTTACTTATGAATACATCGATTAATGTAAAAAGTGAAAAAATATGAAATTAATTGAGAAAAATCATTCCTTTATAAACATTTTTTTATGAGGCATACGTCCTTTGAATTTTGTTCTCTACTACTCTATATTTCATGTCTTATGCCTCATGTCTCTCGCGATAGTCGCATAATTTAATTTATAATCATTTCACAGTTGTTATTTAAATTGCATGGATAAATTTAAATAATATTGTCATTAATCACATTATACAAATTATGACAAATCTGTGCTATTTCCAAATAATTTTATAATAGCTTGATATTACTTTTATTATATAGGTACTATATGATTTAAGTATATATAAGTATTAAAAAGGTACTGCGAAAGTAATTACGAAATAAAATAGTTCCCACAGGTGTTTTTCCAAAATTGGAGTAAACAAAATACATGTTAATCATTGTGGGATCACTTTAGAATCTAAAAGTTTTACTCACCGGTATTTGCACGAATGTACCATTGTTCAGTTGAGGGTAAGAGTATAATGGCACTACGGGAACTGAACCATTTTTCAAAAAAATTGGGCCTTGGATGGGCGTGACATGAGCGTCTTTCGGTATGTCTTGATCGTCGTCGTCGTAGTAGTCCTCGAAGTCGTCGTCATAATCCAGAACAGCGTGGACCGATGTTTTGGTACCTGGACCACCTTCACCGCTAACCCTCGTGTACCTTTGATAAAAAGTTTCATTTCACAATTTATATTTCAATTAACCACCAACTAAACATTTCAAATGAAATAAAAGTTTCATTTCACAATTTATAGATCTGTCAGCAAATATACATTTTAATCAATTTATTCTTATTTTTATACATAAATTATAGAAACAACAAATTTGTTAACTTGTTCAATTCATGAACAGTTTTAGTCGACTAAATTTTATACAATCGTGCGTATCACGAGTGTATGAAGTCCACAGCCTTTTTATAATTCAACGAGTCGAAGTATTCTGAGCACGATAATCAGCGTGAATACTTCTCAGCAACTGTTCGAACATTTTCGAGAAATTCTTTGCAAAAAATTCGATCGATCTCGGATGAAAGTAGTTCCCTCAATTTGACGCATTTCGCATTATAACGAAAAAGCTGATGTTACGTAATAATGAAATGCAATTAAGGCACATGAAATAACTCAAAAGCAATATGAAGAAAATAAACCTAAAAACATGGAACACGGGAATCAGACCAGGGTAAAGGTACATTAAACAAGGGCATTTACCAGTAATTACGTGTGACATATATTCTTTGCTTTTAGTAAAAAATTTTTCAATGTAAGTGGTATTATACATTTGTATGTAGAATGCGCGTCTTAAATAATATAAGTGACAGATGCAGCATCATGTAGGTATATACAAGGTTTCTTATAATATGTGGAACATGTTTTGGAATGTCACTTTTTCTTTATCAATTGGACACTTAATAGTATAATATGGTAATTGCAAATATAGAGAAGGCTTTAAGGTAAAAACACCAGTAATCGACCTGGTATCAGTAGTTGACCATTTTTCAGGAAAATGTAAAAAATGAAGTTGTTAAAAATAATAATCTTTCGATAACTCTGAAGCACTTTTACCTGAATTAAATTGCTTATCATAAAAACTAACAATTTCTTTCATTGAGGTTGGTTTCATGCCTTCAATTTCCAGCATGGAATTAATTTTTTTTCATTTGCATTTGTCTTTTTACTTGTAATTTGTCATAATCGTTGCAAATAAACGATATTACAGTAATCACCTTTAGTGTGTTTGGTTTTACTATAAGTGGTTAACTAGGAACTAATATATGGTCACTTACTAATTTTCTCATGTTAAAGGATGATCAACTTCTAACGCAAGTATTGAATTTTTAAAAAATGTCTATAAAATTTCGACAATATAGCTATTTCAAAACAATTCACTTTGTTACATAATGTAAGAAATTCAAACAGCATTTTCACACATAGAGTCTCTCTATTTAATAAAGGAACGAGCGTTTACTATTATCCACGCAGAAAATTTTTCTTAATTGATCAACTATTGGTGCTTTTAGCCTACTTCGTGGATTTTATTGTTCTTGATTTATGTTGTCAAAATCAGCAATCGGAATTGATATAATTAAATACTACTTATGACCAAAAAATACTTCACTGACTTAAAAAATAAAAGCGCAACCATATTATATAGAGCTAAAATCCTGAAGTTACTCTGCTTTGACTCATTGTTCCGTTGTTAAAATTATTCAAAATAAAAATTATATGAGACATTCACAATTCCTACGGAAAAAGGTATGAAAATATATTTTTCTTTGTTTAACCATTTGCACTGTTATATCGAGTCTTATTCGATATCAAATGATCGAAGGATTATTCATGAATTTACTGAAGGATCACGTAACATTCACAAGTTGTGTCCTTTAATTAGTAAGTATTGATGCTCGTCTGATTGTCACGTAAAATCCTTACTATTGAAAACATATTCGTTAATTAAAAACAACGTTAGATTTAAGGTTTCGAATAATATTCGCAGTCAATCCTTTTCCTATTACAGGTATATATTAAATGAGAAACCAACACTTTCAAACTCGTTTCAGACCGTCACTGATACGTCTTATTTCATCATATGTTGTTTTGTTTTCTGTTTTTTGTACGCATGTACAATTTTCCAAAAACCCTTTGAAATAAAGTATGTACATATTTTATAGAAGATTGAATTCACATTTGAACACATTAAAATTGAATTAACCATAAGGACTTATTATAGATTTTGGTACGTAGTAGTTCTATTTTCGAAACGAATTTGCTTCCGCACAAAAATATCTCTTCCTAATTGTATCATCAATCATAGGACATCATATATACCATTTAACACTAGAATTACGTATCAGTCAAACTGACTGGTTTCAATTTCTTTGTTTCGCAATTATTCATATCTTAAAAGCATTAAATACTCGAAATGATTTTGAAAATAAATGGTTTCACTTGAATACTATAACGAATATCTGAAAATAATCTATTGTTACAATTTTATACGGATTACATATGAATCATGTTAAATGCTCGGCAGTCCTAGTATTAATATGTCATAATGCAATATAAAAATTGTTTACTTTGAAAAGAAAATGCTATTGACTTATGATACAATTCAATAGTAATTAATTGATGTACCAAAATGAGGTAGTAATAATTTAAGAAATGTTATTCATTGTTAATTGTCTCGTTAATTGCATTGCCGATTGCCCAGTTATATTCATCTTCAATATTCTTTTGCGCTAATAAAATTATCGATTGTTTTAAATAGCAACTTTTACATCCAATTTAATTTACTAAACGAACCCTTCAAGTGTGCTCCACATATAATGCGAGACCTTGTAGATCGATGATATAATTACTGAGCGAGTATCCATAACCGAATATGTCAGATACTCATCAAATATTCATTCGGAATGCATGGCACGCAAAAAAGAAACCGTTCAACTGATCGTTACGTAAATAATTGTGCAGACAATTAACATGACTGCGTGAACCACTTTCGCTGTATAAGGAATTTCCTACTGTTTCTTTATGGTGGAAACATTTATGTGCATCTTCTGCAGTATCACGCACAGATAATTGCAATGAGTTAACTATTATATTATTATAAAATTGACTACTGATTTTACCACAGAAATTTAATTTTTACCCTAAACAGTATCATTTTAATTGTTACGGTAACAAAAAGAAACCATAACCAAATAATGATGATTTTTACAGGAGTTTCTTTAATCTTTTCAAAATTCTTTAGATACAGATATCTAATGTAAATAGATACAGGCATAATTTTATAGGATTTAAGAGTCGGTTATAAACATTTTTAAAATTTTATTTCATAGTAATAAACTTTTAAATCATATATATTTGTTTACAAATATTTTTGAGTGCTTAAAATATTTATTATTACAGAGTGGATAATTTGCAGTATTATACATTATATTTATTAGTTATTATCTCTGTCTTAAATTATTCTTCTGCAATCAAATTATGATATTAATATTTTACTTTGCTTTATGCTAGTATTAAATAAACGATATTTAAAAGTTGATTACTAAAATAAAATAAAATTTTACTGAAATTTAAACAGGTTTTATATGTTTTGTTATCATGAAACCCGTACTGACAAAGAAAGGTATCAAACGTGGAAATTCAAAAAAATATGAAACTTTGTGCGTAAGTAGAGTAAGTCAAGCCTAATACATTGCAATTTTCTCTTGGAAAAAATGCAAATTTCTTTTCCGTGGATTATCTTGAGAAAGGTAAGAAATAGCGAAAAATAAATTTCAACAAAAAATTCATTGTCCTTTTACATCTATAAAATTGTAAAATAAAATTTTCAAATCTAAATATTTGTTGCTTCATTTTTTGAAAACATGGATACTGCCAATATTTATGTAATTTTCTTATATGAATTCAAACTTGCAAATAATGCTGCCGATTCGAACAGATCTATCCATTCGTACAGTAAAAGAAGAAATAACAAGGGACGAGAGACAGACAGATCAAACAGATGCTACACACGTTAAATGTAAACATGCAATGAAAAAACATTCAATGGCAATAATTTTAACCTTACCTTCTCAATCGTAGTACCGATGGAATGTTGAGATTTTTCTCACTGAAATGAGTCCAAACATGACGTAAATCGGTCTAGTTTTATCGATTTGGGAGAAATGAACCTTTAATTTCGTTATTTACGTTAAGTCAGTAAAAATAGCCCGACTTTTATCGTGTTTGGACTCGTTTTAATCACAACAATTTCAGAAATCCACTGGCAGTATATTTGAGAAGATAAAGTAAAAAATTGCAATGGAAATTTTCTTCATTGTCTCCGCGTCTCAACCCTCGATACTTGATGGACTGCGACTATCTCACTTTCACTCATTGTATCGATTCTCTGTTTTTGTTAGGTTGAGCTCGAGTCAATTTCTGGAAGCAAACAACTTGCTCCTGTTTTTCCTGCCCGATTAAATGCTACTGCTGGGACCCGAAATTGTAAAATTTAAACGAACTTACTAAATGAGGAATTACAAAAAAAGAACAATCCACAGTGTAACCTCGCTGGAGGTTACACCCACATTCTATCAACATCATGATATACAAATTTGACAAAAATTTACAAAAAACAAATTGTAAAGCACAATTGAAAATAAAATTGAAATGCTCTTCAAATAATGTAAGACAAAAATATTTACCCATTCGGTCTCTCGGGATAACTGTCATCCTCAGGCATTCTGGATGTTCTATGATTGCTTTGGTCCCTGTCAACTTGGGATCGTTGTTGTTGAGAAATCGGTGGCGCAGGTCTCTGTTGTTGCTGCCTCGGCTGAGTCCTTCTGAAATCTTGGTTGTAATTATCGTATCTGGTGTCTTGCGTCGAGGAAAAGGACGAGTGCTCGATGTACGAATTTGAAGTTGTTTGCCGATTGAAGGCCGTTTGATGTTGTTTTTGTTGCTGGTAACCAGCGGGCGGTATGTACGGTTCATTTTGGAAAGGTTCTCGGTCATTGAAATTTGGAGCGGGTGCAGGCGGAAGTACCGCATTCAAACGAAGGTTGTTTACTGACGAATGTCCTCCGGTTTGGCCACCGTAAAAGAACGGAGTGGGCGTTGCCGACTGATACGGCAAGGTAAAGTTGACCAGCGACATTTTTACACTTCTGTGTAAAAGAAAGTATAAAAGATCTTTTTTCATTAATATATTCATTTCCGTTCCCTTAATCCCTTGCCTTACAATAATATATGAGACTCGTGGTGCGCATTTTAAGTAGAATTTAATGAATATAAATATTACTCAAGTCCTTTAAATTCAAATGAAACATTGCTCTTCTGTTATCAATTATCATACTGTACGGCAAATGTATATGTAGAATATGCAAAGAATTTTTCTCTTTTTTCATTAAATTATTACTGACAAAATTGTTGTATCGATCACAGTTGAAAAATAAATCATACGGCAAAGAGTTAATATATGTACAGAGTGATTTCTATGTATAATTATTACAAGTTACTACCTTTTCACTGGTAAATGATGCAATGATGAAATTAGAAATTAGAAATAAATACTGTATTTGTAAGATCACATACTTTTGGTAAGTGCAAAGATATGTAGAAATTTAAAAGTTGTACTACTTTTTTTAATGGGAGTGAAAATTGCCCCGTAATATCGTGTCAGACTTGTGGCAAAAATTTTAATTAGATTTTAACAAATATACATGTCACTTAATGATTTCAGGTATAAATTGAATATTATTTTGTTATTATCGATTGTAATGCTTCGGAGTAAACGTGGATGTACTGTAGGGAGATCACTTGGCAGTTAGGCTGAGAAATGTGGGTCTACGTGGTCAGTTCTCATCTTTTTTATAATGCTAATTTGCTATTCGTCAATAGGATTATGCGAAACCAATCAGAACTATGAAGAAAATTACACTATAAAAATAACTATAAACAGCGAAGGAATAAACTCCTGCGCCGTCCTGCTTGACATCAAGTCATCTGCCAACTGTAGAATAAGCATGAAATTTATTTTCCTTTTACAATGAATTATAAAAAATGAAATAGTTTCGTCGAATATAGTTGCAAAAGAAATTATGATACAAGAGGTTATTAATGACACGCTGGTAATTCAAATAACTTGTTCATATACAAATTGGAATATTCAGCGCGTCGTTTAAATATTTTTAAATCATATTTACATTTTCTTAATAAAACAGACGGTAGCTTGATTCAAAAAAGCTGTCTACTGATCTTGAAAATTGTCCTTGATACAGAAGAATGACTTTTAACGATTTGATTTTTGAATACTTCCTTTCTTCAATTTCTTCTGTGTCATCAAAAATACTGAAAATGTTCGCAAGTTAATCTCAAATTAATCACTGTATGCTTTGCCTTTGTGGGAGTTCAATGCAACAAACATTGTAACATGGATATAACAATTATAAATAACAAACGAAAAACAGTCCCCTTTTTTTCATCAGCAAAATTTAAATATATAAACGATGATCTTTTAAGAAATCATAAAGGAAAGTAGAATTTGTATCCCATATAAGTAATTATATCTAATAAAGTTGTTTGTTATTTTTATTTAAATAGCTATTTATTTCCAATGATGTTTTCATGAAAAATTACTTAATCTTGATACTGATCATTTACTCTATACATGTACCTCCGTATTTACAAAGAACAAAAAGATTTTATAGAAACATATATGTTATTTAAGCCTTACATGAAAATCTTCTCTTCTACATTTTTAATTTACTTATTACTTAATCCTCTTTATATTATTTAGATATTACTCGAAACTCACTGAAACTATTTTTCACCGTGCAATATATTTTATTGAGAACATTCGAAAAACAAAACAGTAATTCTGAGACTTGGCGGTATTAAATTTAGGTTTACTATTATAAGGAGAGCAAATTAGACACCTCTGTGTTAGTGTCCGCGCGTTAGGGCCTTAAGACAAGGAATCACTACTACTCATCTTACGAAGTAGTACACAAAACAGCCACCTTTGCCTGCATCGGTGTTACGACGGCGGGCAGAATTATGCCCGGGCAATTCACGGGCTGCCTGTTCGGGCAAGTGGCTGAACAGGGCTGCATTGGAACGTTAGTGCTGGCGTAAAAACGTATAAATTCAACTTACAGCAGAACGAAAATTAGTTCCCTTGGCAGAGAACTTAGATTCTTCTTCAGGATCTTTGACTATATCAGGTATGACGTTGATCCTGTAGAAAAATGTAGCTTATGGCTATGAACATCGTGCTAAAATACTACAACTATAATTAACCCCTTGCCCTATAATAACCTGTCAGACGCGTGGTGAAGATTTTCACACATTGAGTGTAACAAAAGTCTTGACCATTTTTCCGTAGAGTTATTCTTTTGTAACAAAGAAAAGCGGGGACAACTATTAATTATTTAGCGGTACTATTCCTGCATTACACTATTATCAGCTTAGTTACGTTATTAAACATTTTTATTTGACATCGGTAATATACAAATATTACGATTGTTTTCAAGTGATTCAGAAGTGTCGGTGATCAATGACTAACATAACGTGCTTAACGTGTTAAACAGATTTTAACAGGCATAAATATTATTCGATTCTTTTAAATTAAAATTCAATATTGTTCTTGTGTTATCGATTATTATACTTCATAGCAAACGTGGACATAGAGTATGCTCAGAAATATTCTCTTTTTTCAATATTAACGAGAAAGTACTTACATTGATTGTAGTTGAAGAATAAGTCATAGGGCAAGGGGTTAACTCGAAATATTAATTATTCGTGTAGTAAACGTTTAACTGATCTAATTTTGGCTGCATTCACGCAATATATTACCACTTTCGTTATTTGGTTTTGTATAAATGTCCTTTTCGAGCACACTACATTGAAAATTTCAAGACTCTTTTCCGTCTTCTGAAATATGGAAACATGATCGATGTTCGAAGTATTCGTTGATTATTCGGAACGAAAATTATTCTTATTTTTCTGGCACGCGTGGACCACGATCATTTGAACATGATTAATGTGGTCTTTCTTTCCTTCTCCTTCCTCCGGTGCTGCTTCTGTTGTGTGAGATCAGCCTGAAACGATAAAGGAAAGTCGATATTTCATGGGCACGTTACTGACGAAGATATTAAGCATTAGTGAAACTTTTGTATTTGTGTGCATTCGCTTATAAATAAAACTTTATGAAATAATTGAGGCATTAACCATGCAAATCATTCATCTCGTTTTCAACACCTTGGCAGCCCAATGAATCTTATGTATTTTACGTTACACACCAGAGTGAAATATTATTAAATTGTGGATCTTCATGCAAATTCAGAACATGAAGAATACAATTAATTATATATTTATAATATAGGAAAATATAATTATACATTAATAAAAAAGTATGCATATAATAATGTTATACAGATTACAGATATAGAACATTTAACATTTTACATTCAATAAGGAAATGTAGAATAATAAATTACTGCACGTTGGTTATTTTGTATGCTTTTTGCATTTTATAGGCATATTTTCAAGTTTTCCATAACTGGACAAAATTTAGTCATTATTATACGTGTAATATGGTAAACTATATGCATGATTTGGTAACTTCCTCGATAGAGTATGTTTCTCATATTTACAAGCATCTGGGAATAGAAAAGCTATCAAAATTTGTACAAATAACGTAACAATATTTGGTATCGTTTTCTATAATTAAAATGTAATAAATTTTATTGCAATATTTAAGTTATGCATGTGCAGAATATTCTGTAATGTAGCTAATAATAATGTAATAAAATGTATTCATTTTAGTCCTGATTTTACAGAAAATTATGCGTTATTTATCAGGTATAATATTTTGTTAGGTAGGCGTAAGTGATTCGATTGAATATGGATGGTATAATAGACGAGAACTTGTTACACATGCGTAAGTATCTATAAAACGCAAAATGAAAACCTTTTCATTTTTTCAAGCAAATTGAATTTGAACATATTCTTTTGGCAATTTATTACTGGATTTTTCAAACTGGATTTTCTTGATAACGAAACTAAAAATAAACTGAATTCCACATTTTTATATTTTTTTCATCTAAAATAACTTTCTGTTAATCATATTATGTAAATCCAGTTTATAGTCTATCAAATACGCTTGTGCTTCATAAATATTCAGTGATGACTTCTTTCGGAAAACAAACTGAAAAAGATTATTTTTTATTTAATTTATCTTTATTGATTCAGTTTAAACTTATTTTGTCACGTGGAATCACCTGTTCCTGGATTATCCTGTTAATTACAATGCACCCTGTATAATGTATGTATGAAAAATGAAGTTATTACTTTTGGAATAACGTAACTTTGCTTTACGTAGTTGTCTCGTTATGTGTGTTATTTTAATTCAATAAAGTTCACAAACAGCTAGAATTAAAAGAAACTGTCTGTATCGATCAACAATTTCTACTGCATCATTTAACGCGTAATCTTCATTTAATCAGTAACGAATCACGTCTGATTCTGGTTTGCATTTCAACCCTAAGTCTGGTTCTATCCTCACATATGGTGTATCGCTTATTGCAGCATATAGGTAAATACCTTTCTTATAATTAAATTGCATATTTTTGTACAGAAATAGGCACTTTATATTGATGAATAAACATAAAACATAAATAAATTATAATTGTTTTGTTAATAGTTTAAATTAGTTAAAAATTATACTATAATTAATTATAAGCCAAAGATTTCATATTCTTATGGGACATACAATAAAAATAACAAAAAATAAATGCTACAATAAACATTTGAGTAAGTTTAATTCTATTATATTATCCTGAGTTTATTTTATGTTATCCTGTGCACTTGCATATCCCATACGTACTTTAAATCATTAGCTTAAAATTAGTTGTAATATATGCTATTAAATAAAAACTGTAAGGAATTTCGTATAATAGTTGCAAACATAATTGGAACTTGTTCATGTTACACTAATGACTCATATGAAGGGAAAATCGTATTCTTAATTTGTTTTGCTCCGAGTATTGTTCATTCCGTTAAAACCAAAGACAGTACAATCGAACGATTTTTTTTTATCAGATGCCTATTACAATTTCATTATCCTAAGATCAAGCGCTGAATAATTCACAATCTAGTAAGAAACATAAAAATACCTGCGAGATATCTCGTCTATAGCATTAGAACAAGGACATCGGGTGGCAAGATATCTTGTTCGCTGTCGTAAAGTGGTTAAATTTAACGATAATAAATTCCATGCGAAATGTGCATAGCGATTGAAATACATCTAACATTTTATGCATTATACAAATATAAATAAAATAATGAACAATTAGATTTTACTTTCTTACTTGTAATCTACATTTGCTATTATACATTTTTTTACTTGGTATTGCTAACATACCACTATAAAGTTAGATCTTTGAAAGTTAATTCTAAAGTTCTGCAACAAATCCTTTGGTAAAAATATGGTAATGAATCACTTGAATTAATGAATTACACCTTTTTAATACTTTGAATTAAAAATATTTATTAATTTGAATATTTACTTAAATTAACTTACTTAGTTAGTAATACTTAATAGTAAGTAATATTAATACTTAATATATGACACATTTAAGAAAGAATACGAATAAACTTGAATTATTTGACAAACTGTTAATTGCAATGGATTGATAATTTAATCTCATCAACTTATATAAATTTATTATATACACATTTATAAACACATACATCTTATTTTTCATCAGGGCAATAGTTGAAATATACTAAAATCATGAAATAGTGTTGTAAATATGGATTTATCAACACAGTGATTTATATAATACATTTCAAATGGTCGCTGAAATATATCTTCGGGGATTTCTATGTCGGTTTCTTACGCAATACGTAACACGCAATTACGTTTGGCGAACAAGACCATGGCATTTAAGCTCCCTTTCCCAATTTTTCATACCGATACAGCGTACGTATGTTCCTCGTAACATGCCTCCTACTTTTTCTTGAAATTTCCTCGAATTGTGGAAAGTAATATCTATGAGTCACTTTATGAGATACTCGAATAGGTTTGTGAAGTCTATAACGTTTTAACATTTTGCAATGTTACTATGTAAGTGTATATTATTGAAAAATTGTTTCGTATTAAGAAGTATTCTGTTTGTTTTTCATATCGATTAATATTTGACAATAAATGACTTAATCTTGTCTGACATTCAATAAAAGATTGTCAGCTTTGTACCGATTCTGCGAATTTCTAATAATACATACAATTATGATTACAATTCTATTTCTTTTAATAAAACTAATATTTTCCCTTCAAAATGTATCTTTGACATTCTTTTTTAATAAATTTTGTAGATTTTTAAAAAAAGTTTAATTTAATTCTTTCTAAATCTACGAAAATCTTTAAAATGTTCTCCAAAGTACAATAAGATTGTAAAAATTTAAACAAGTTTCTATTAATACTTTATTATTTCTTATGTAATGTTGATTGCATGTTTTATTATTTTAACTACTAATAGTGATACAAATCTCATGTTCTGTTTAAACTGAAGACATAAGAAAGAAAACGTAATCTATATTATTGTTGGTAATCGCAGTTTCTACATTAATAGCATGTAACGTTAAAGATGTTTTTAAGCCAGAAAAGTGTCTTAACTTAAGGCTGCTACGCCGTAATTATCTATAATTCTATCCGAGAACCCAAAAATTTCAGAAATAGAAACCGCGAAAATAAATTGCGTAACGAACACCTTACCTGTATAGAAAATTAAGTTTTAGAAAAATATTTTACAACTTTAGTGACTTGCTTCGTCATAATGGAAACGTTCAGTTATTTATTCATCGGATACTTCTAAGATTACGTATTATAAATGAAGATTATTCGAAATAACTAAACTTTCCTCTTCTACCTAATAAAATATCTATTCTTGCTTCATTTCTTCGTAGAATCGATAACTCGAATGTTATACCGAACATTTATCTTGGGATATTTGCTATGAAACGATCAATAAACTATTCCAATGCATCTTTCTCCTATGAAGCAATAAACTTCCCTGACATTTTCTTTAACTCGTTCGTAGAAAGTGTTCCGACTCTTGATGCAATCATAAACCAAAAATATATATATACAACACGAATACGGTCTGAGTGATTCAAAAGGAATTTCTAGAACTAAAATAATAAAGTGAATATCGGAAGATCACCTGCAAGAGTTAAAATGGTATTTTAAAAAGACAAATTTGATTAAGAAAACTATTCGTATCCAGTATCAATGTTGTCTGATGTTAGTATATTTAAAAAAGAATTTATTGTTCATTAAAGTACAACAATTTTTTGTCCTTCATACCTGTGAATATTATAAATTTTATCATTTCCACAATGTGAAGAACATTAAAAATTGCATTTATTATTCAAATTGTGTATATTATTTAAAAACAATGTCAAATTCAATTAGGCGATATAATAGTGCTAAAGAACATTTTTTGATATAAATATTATTTAATTTTTTGCAAATCAAAATCGAAAATGCTTTCCTTAATATTTTATTTTAAATGTTGACCATTTTTTCTTTAAAATGAAATTATTTTATTTAAAATGAAGATAATTTTTTCTTTAGAATTAAATTATTTTACTTAACATGAAGACTATTTCTTTCAAAATATTGAATTTCTATACTTTCGAAAAATACTAGAAAATAGAAAATACTTGATATCTACGAATTTTTCCTTTAATAATAAGAACAGTGACAAAAAGTGGCAAGTCTCAATATAAATTTATATTTTATTATCTGAAAATTGTCAAGCTGATAACAATTCTCTTTTATTATTCTTCATGATAGCTGACAACAGTTTACTTAAATTCAGGAATATTTTGTATGTGACGATATTAAAAAGTAGCAATGATCATTCGTGGGTATATTCTAAAATGTACGAGTACCAAATGGCAAGCACTAATGAATAATATTTTTATGAAAGAAAATTATGCAAATTATGCAAACGCGTCGGCGTGTGCGTGGACGCAGTTGTACCACGTGCCCGTGAAAGATGTTTATGAAACGTTGAAGATGTAACGATCGCGTTAATCTACCCGTAAATCAATAAAATTCGTCTGCGGACGAACAAGTTTGGCTGCTCGTCACTTTCGCCCACTGAATTACTTTCTTCGAAACCGAGTATGCAAAGCATGCTTTCACCGAAAAAGAATCCCGAGTTCTTTATATCTTCTACGTTCAGAAATAACATCATACCTTATAATTTCTTTCTCAAATGTTTTAGGTTCACTTACGTACCGATCGATTAAAAATTAATAGTGAATATAGGTGCACAGATTTTTTAAATGTTTCTTTGAAATCTCGCGAACTCGAATTGTTTGTTATAAAAAATTCATAACTTAAATATAAAGTTTCTAAAATATTGTTTTAGTGTATGTTTATGTGATATTCGTTGGTACCTATGTATATCGTTTTTTCAAAGTTACTTTCGTTAAAATAAATATTCCATAGTGTATTAGGCACTATCTTACTTGAAGTGTTAATGTTATACAATGATTTCAATAAAATCCAATTCTAAATATTAAGGAAAGTATTCAGCATTCTTCTCTCGCATTTGCATTATTAAAGAAATTTGTTAATACTTTGAAGGCTAATGTCGCGTAGGTATTAGTAATCAAATGATGTCGCGCAAACGTGATTTCGGTGTTTTCGAACTTACCTAAATTAAACTACTAATTTTTAATACTCTGTATCTGACAGAAATATTTTTCAATAATACAACCGAATGACTATTTTACTTCACAATTGAAACAATTGTTTCATTAAATTCTAATCGACTACAAATTATTTCTTTATTTTTGCATAGAAAGAATATATGCCAATAAAACTTATTTCGTCAAAACTATATTACAGAAAATAAAACATTTTTTTAGAAATTACTACGAAACAAAAATTCTACATTTATCTGGTTATAAATTACTTATTTATTTCTACAAAAAGAAGTTTTGGCAGAACAATACTAAAAAACAGAAATGACAATTATATATGTACTTTTCCACTCCTTTCCTTACATTTACCGAAGATAGTTATGAATAACTAATAATTACCGGTTTACCTGATAAATTTCTAGAAATCAATCACTTTGACCTTTTTGTATGGTTAGTATGAATAATAGCCGGTTATTAATAATATAAATCGATTAATTACTTGAACCGTAACATATACACTGTCAGTCAAAAGTTTGGGTCCAATACATTAAAAGAAAAACTTTCATTTTTTGCAAACAACTTTTATTGGAGAATTTTTATATATGATAAAGGAACATGGACATATGTGTATTAGTCAAATATAAAGATACATCATTTTTATTATTTTATCTTACATATTTCTAAGATATATATTCTTTAATTTGTGACGTTACATATCAAGCGATTCCAAACTTCTGACCGGCAGTGTATATCGACGTATTTAATATCTTGTATTTTGTTTGTAGTTCTGGAAAGGATTTTATTATTGCGATTCAATCATATCCTACATATCGTTCGGTTCTAATATTTTATTTAAATGTATTATTAAATATTACGTTTTGCATTCAATAAAAGAATTATTCGTTAAAAATCCAACAAATTCTGAGTTCTAAGAGGATAAAATAAGCTCTGTTCCTTTAATTTTTTGCAGCCGAAACTTTACCTGACTCAATGATCCACTCCCAGTGTTAACGTACATGCGCCGGGCAGATTCAGCGGAAGCGCGGACACATGCACCGAAACAAAAATCTCTTCCCTTCGCTTTCACTTTCGGTGGCCCAGCGATCTTTCTGTTCTAAAAGTCGGATACCTCGAAAACGCGGGATCAAGAGGAGAACGATCGCGAATCGAATCGAATCAAGCGTGGCTCGCGAAAGAAAGAAATCCGCGGAAACGCAGGGTACAGCGAGACACGTGGTTGCTCGTGATCCGCTGAACGCACGAGCCGCTCGTTGAAATCGCCGAGAGGCGTCCGTGACACCGCGCGAAACGCTACGTTGGCGAGCGACAACTAAAAGAGAAGCGTTTTACCCGACTCCACCAGAATGGGGATAAAGAGAGGTGTCCCCCCGATCATGAAGTGTAGCGCGACCTATGGGTTCTCTCTCACTTTCCGCTCCTTGATGTCCTCTCTCTTGTCGCTCCCTACCTTCGATTCCGATCGACGATTTACCTTTTTGTCCCGGCCGATCGTTTAATCAAGCGTTTGCTCCTTTTTTTCGCGCGTGAAATCGACGATACTCTAAGTATTCGACAGAGGTGTTCTTTATTAAACGCAGGAACTTCTTATTTGGGAATTATTGTGACCGGGTAGTTAGTTATTATTCAATGGGGATGGTGTGCGCAGGTTGTGGATATTTCTTTGTTGTATTAGCCAGTTAACTATATTTCACGTGTATACACGTCATTGTAAAGCTCGAAAAGATACTTTATCAACGATGAATTCTTTATTTTTTCAGACGAACATGTAATTCTTCTTTGTTTTGCTTTGATTTTTCATTCAAATATACCCTAGGTGCATTTGTTCTGCGTTTGACGAGTGCACACTTCGTTTTTTGATTTTATCACGTGCAAAACGAGATATTTTTGAAGCTAAAGTACACAGTTAACAGATTATATGAATTATATTTTTTGGGGGATTTTGGTGAGATATAACGGTGATGAGTTTAATGAGCATAATACATTGTTTGACTTTATTAGAGGAAAAATTGAATGGGATATTGCGGTGTATGTTAATCGACGGGATTATTTATTGACTACAAAAAGTATGGGAATATTAAATGAATTGAATAATAAAATTAGTTGTGTAATATTATAATTTTTTTGTAATTGCTCTATGCAGTATTTGCGTTGAATAATTTGTGGAACTATTCAATAACGGATCTATTTAACACTAGAACTACCGAATATTTAATTCGATTGATATGTAATCCTTATAAAAATTGTAACAATAGGTTATTTTCAATTTCTTCAGATGTTCATTATAGCAGTCAAGTGAATCTATCTATTTTCAAAATCATTTCGAATATTCAATACTTTGAAAATATCAATAATTGAAAAATAAACAAGTGAAAACCAGTCATTTTGACTGGTACGTAGTACTAGTGTTAATTGCAATAGGCGCTATAGTTTTAATTTTTGACTCATAGAACAACTTAAAATATTACAACGTCATCAAGATTTATGAAATGAGTCATACTTCGGTGAATAAAACAGATAAACATTAGAGTATGAGTCTACGTACGTGTATGACTAATACATTCTAATAACGCAGTACATATGGCAAAGGTGAAATTTTATTTGTATGTGTTTGTAAGTTTATTTTATATACTTATAAAGCCAAGGATATTAATTCTTTATTAGACAAAAAAATATGTTTATGAAAATAAATGTATAAAAATACGTTTTTAAACATATCAGTATGAAGCACAATAAATAAAATATTTATAACTACTTACTTTTAAATCTTATAACTGTTTACTTATGAATTATATATACAGTATACGTATGTTATTAATATAATGACGTCTTTTACAACGTAACTAATAGCAATACATTATCACAATACTTCCTCATTTGAATATGCTTTGGTATTTTATGAAGAAACCGTTGTAATGTTAATAAATAAATTACAATGTATCCTAACTTATCGATAAGTGCTTCCCTTCATTTTAATACATCCATACCTAAAATAAAAATATATATTTCAACACTTCTCAGTGAAAGATGGATTACCAAAAATATAATAAAAGACACTCTTGTTATATCATGCTATACATATTATTACTAGACTGTAGGTTTTTATACAAATTGACATTTTTAAGAATATAATTAGAAGAACATAATTACCATAGGAAATGGTATTTTCTGATAATTATTATAAAAACCACTAAGCTCTGAATAATTTATACATTTTCTCGTAACACATGCATTCTAATTATTACGATAAGAGTGGGAAGACAGAAAACCAAAAACTATGCTAGCCAGTCTATAACTACAATGTTGTAAATAATTCTGTCAATTTTGTTTATAATAATTTTCGCCGGTGAGTTCTCGGTCAACGATGATCTACGTTCTGGAAGGTAGAAAACGGTCAATGACGAACACATAAAGACCTTGATCGATATCAATCTACGCCAAATAATTCGGAATATTTCAAAAACGCTTAAAATATCGAAATCGGAATTGAAAATCATGTGTTCAAAACTAGGTTACACGAATCGATTCAATCTTTTAACACTGGATTAATTATTGTGTAAAATTTAGTTAAATTCCTTTCCGTCGAAGGCTAGTTGCTCAAACTTAAGAATTCAATCAACTTTTTTAAAACAATCATGACTACGGACAAAAAATTAATCGTCTAAAAATAACAATATTGAATAAAAAAGAAAGTAAATGAAAAGAAAAAGAACCATAAATAATTTTTACACCTGGCCTCTATATAAGAAAAGTTATGGTGTGGTTTTTGTGGGATTGGAAAGGTATCCTGCATTATAAACCCCTTCCAAGTAATTAAACGGTTAATTCAGACAAGTACCGCGCGGAGCCGAACAAATTAAAGACGTCGGTTGAATAAAAACGCCCAGAATTAATAAACGGGAAAGATGTTGCATTTCAACAGGGCAACGTTAAACCTCGCATCTCTTTAGCTGCTCACCATAAATTGTGACAGCTTAGATGGGATGCCTTGCCTAACTACGCCATATTCGCTTGACATTGCACCATCAGGCTATAACTTATTCCGTCTCTCACAAAATTCCCTCAAAAGGAAAAAATTGAAAATTCTAGAGGTTTGTAAAATGCTCTTGGGATTTCTTTATTTAAAAGATTCCTTGAATTAAAAATGAAACATTTTCCAGAAACGATATAATAAACTTTCCAGAAAAATAGTAGAAAACAGGAAAGTAGTAATTAATGAATTCAATAATAAATATATTGTTTTACATACCTATGCATATACAATTTCTGTTCGAATTTCTTTTAAAAAATGGGATAATTTTTTGCTATCCCAATATGTCTCAAACATTCCAATAATAATATCCATAATATAATAAACCTGACGAGTAAGGTTATTGCAAATTTAAATTTCATACATCTATAGACAGCCTCTCCTATAATCGAACAATATCAATTATAATGTGCAAATCACTTGGAAATAATTTTGTAATTTTGTAAAAAGATTTAAATTTCATAGAAATTTCAATGTGAGTGAAATGTATCTACGATTGTAAATTTGATGTATTAATATGTCGAATTTTAGTATATTTTAAAACAACAATATATTATTAATAAATAATGGAATGATATGGAGTTGTGTTAATTATAATAATTAACTTTTATGTATAAAGACAAGAAATAAAATGAAATTCTGAGAAATAAATGAACTTTAACAATCCGCTATAGCTACATGCTTTCCGTTTTAATGTTTGTCATTATGCAATCAGACAAACGTTATTGACCCTTTAACTACGGTGCGCTTTACCGAAAGACCATCGGGATGCGCTGAGACGTGTCATTATGCTCATTCGCCGGAACTAAATTGCGTTGTTAAAAACATGACGAACCTTGCAATTAATTTGCTTAGTTGCTCTGAAGCATGCAAGAATATGTCTACTGACACATCACATTAGCAAAGAGATAAATATTTTAAATTAAGCATACTTGACCTATAATAATATACGTATATACTTGTTAGTCAAAAAGTTAATTCGTTGATTGATGCGCATAGTATTATTTTGTTTCTTACAACCCGATAACCCTTGCCTCTACATTTCACTATTATGCATGTGTACAGTATTGACATAACAAACACAATAATTTTCTCTTTGTCTTCTGAAACATGTAACAACCTGCACATACAGTAACGTATGTTTAATTTCAAATAACATAATTTCCAATTAATTTACAAATAAATCAAGGTTTCCTAAATACAATAGGACCTCGATTAACAATAATCATACCGGTACTTTGTACATATTTATTCCTATCGTAACAGGTCAGATAACTGGTTACAAAACAAGGGTAAACCAGTTAAATGATAAATACTTTTTGGTGAAAACAAAAAGAAAAGGAGAAACAAAGTTTGAAAAACTAGTTAATCGGACAATGTAGGAATTGATACAAAGTTAAATGAATGAAGAAAAACGCAGATTATAATCAAATTTTAAAATCGATCATTTGACCGGTTCGTCGAATGGTTAATGTTAACCGAGTCTCTAGTTTTTGTAAATATCGTAAATATCGTTTAAAATTTCGGTTATTCACAAATTCAATAACTAGAATTTTTTTATTATATCTCAAGATATATACACTCACATTTTGCAATTTCTTAAAAATTTCTTCTCGAGTTTTCATTTTATACTACTGTATTGTAATATAAAAGCGAAACAATGAACAACTAAAAAAATAGATAGAAAGTAAAGAAATAAAGAATATGTTAAAAGAAATTTCTCAATAAACTACCTGGCCCTCGATTTACGCGAAAATCCGTTCCACGTAAATTCGTTTCACGCGAATTTAAATCGCATACATTGAGTCTGTCGGTACAAGAGAAAAAAAAATATTAGAAAGAAAAGCTGGTATAAGTTTTAGAAGTATACATTTATTTCTCATAGCCAAATAAAGTAAATAATAATAATAATATTTCAGAAAACGAAAGTACATTCTATTAACTGTTATTCAATTCAGATCACGCGTAAAAAACCACCGTGTAAATAGTGTTCTAATTTATTGCGTACAAATGTCCCGCGTAAATTGTGGGTTTAGTGGATTAACATATTAACTTGAAAACAATTATAAGAAGAATGATGTTGAATCCAAATATTTAGTAGTATAAGTAACGATATACTTGCATATATAAATTTTATAAGGATTACACATCCTTATAAAAATTGTAACATTAGATTATTTTCAGTTTCTTCAAACATTCATTATAATATTCAAGTGAAACTATTTGTTTTCAACCTGATTTCGAATAAGGTAAAAACACTAATAGTTGACTA